ATAACCATCGGATAATGTACGATCTCGCATTTTGAATTTGGCGTCAAAAAAAATTCTAGGTTGTTCGGCTTCAGATTTTGCATGCAAAAAAGCGTCGAAAAGCACTGATTGCTCATTTTAATTAATTCTGTCTGTCCGAACTTTTTGCTACTAATTATACTTGAGTGGTTGAAAACGCAATAACAAAAATGGTTGGAAACGCAATTAGCATTTAAAAGCAATTGGAGTAGACATTTCTTAAATATCAGCTATCATGAAGATGTCGATGATATTTCCGTACTTCTATGAGAGCTCATGGTTCTTCAGAAGCGAGTTCACAACTTTTAAACAAACCCATTAAACTTACTTTGCTATCGTTTTTGACAAAATGTTTTTGATGTGCTGGAGTAACTCCGATGTTGCTGTTTTTTGTCCAAATATCAGTCAGCCAGTTTTGAGAGGCGACGATGAATTAAAAATGTCAGTGTAAAAAGTTTTTTCTTCCCCGATCATCAGATTTGTGCAATGCGCTGCAACAATAACTATTCCCGATGAAAGCTCCTGTTTCGATGCTAAAACGTTTCAAACGCAAGCTCTTTGCCAATTTCTAACGAGTTAGAGCTGCTTCCGGAATCGAACCTAGACCTAGTCTTTTTTTCAGTTATGTACATCCTGGTTGTTTGTCTCTATCTTCGGACCCGCAAGCGCTGTTCTGTGATGAGAAATTCAGTAACCTTTACGCGAAAAACTTCGTCATTATCCTCGACTAACATGATTGTAATTGAAGGAGTTAGTTTTTCTTCTCTTACTGAAGAGTTAGTTTTTCTTCTCTTACTCGTGCTAAACGGTAGAAACTTCTTGAGCTTTTGATTACTCTGAGACTTTCATCCGCGTGTTGCAGTTTCTTAGATTTTCCTTGATTCCATAGGAAAACGTTCCATCAAAAGCTTAAAATTTTTCAATTGACTTTCAATTTACTTCAATTTTTCAATTGACTTTCAATTTCCTTAAACTTTTACAATATTGACTTTCAATTGAATTAATTACTTTTCAATTGACTTCAATGTTTTTCTTTGTCTGCATAACTGTCCACTGACTGACTGCTATCCTAGAAATTTGGTACCTGAATTCCTAAATCAATTTCAATGAGCAGACTCATCTAATGATGACTGATAGTCATTGGTGCAGAAATAGAATCAATGTTTAAATTTGACAACATTGAATCACGAGACAGTCAAATTTTTCGGAAATTCGGAATTCGATAACTGATTTTCTGATTCGGTTTCACAAACTTGGTTAAATAATGAAATATAGTGTTATTCCTGTGGAAGAGTTTGAATTGTTTTTTGAAATTTACCCCAGACATCGCATTTGCACTAAGTTGGCCACTGATTGTACTTAGCACTACAATTAGAGCTTCACTTTTATTTCTCCGGTGCTTTTTTGTTTACATTCTCAGGAAAAAATCTAATGCCAAAATACGCAAATTTTCCACGATATTTTGCGAAAATAGCTTTTCTGATTTCCACCTCCTAGTCCCTCGATCCAAAGTGTGAAGTCATTAAAGCGAGGTTTTGCCATTTTACACTCCAATTCTGCCCTAAATCACCCTCTAAATGAACTTTTTTTCAAAAAAAAATTGTTTTTCAGGAACTTCAAAGCCTGCTACGCAATTCAGTACACCAGACTTTTTTTGATGTAGCATTTTTTGTGTCTAAATTATACCTGCGGTTGGTTTTTTCATTATATAAAACTTTAATGTGAGATTATATAAAATTTTTGATGCAAATTTAAGATATTTTTCGCACAGTTCAAAGGGGAATAGTATCACCTATTTTTCCTACATTTTCTTTTTATGGATGTACCTGTTTTGTATGAATTATTTCAAAATGTCATAAATAGTCCCAAGGCGGTTGCTATTTGTTTGCGTTATCTTACGATACAACATCTAAAAAGCGCCGGCACTGTGTTATTCAAAATGCTAATGAAGTATATCGCCTCAAAAGAAACGTAAGGGTGTTACCAACCAAAAAACAGACCATAAGTTCCTTATTATAATGACCACGCTAAGCACTGTTGGCACTTTCTTTTATTACGCACTTTTTCATTTCAGTTTTCCAGCCATGCATGGCGGCATACTTAAAAATTTAACTCTTAAAAGTTCCTATAAAGTTGGTATTAAATAGTAAGACACGATACAATTTTGTAAACAGAAACGCTCATTTCTTCCAAAATAGTCCGAAAGAGTAAAATAAACGAGGCTTTAATGTAAAACAGACTAAGCATCAGTAAAAAGGCAAATTCTTTTCGGTTAAACTCCACCTAAATGATTTCTACATCAAAAACGGATATCGCTACATCAAAAATAATGGATCAAGTTTGCTATGAAAGCAGATCATTAATTTGGGTCAAACCAAGGCCAGGCGAGTTCATCTAACTTTGTCTGAAACTGTTTTTTGTCCCTTTTTTGCCGTTTTCATCACATAAATTACAAATAAAGACCATACAAGACAGCGTTTTTGATATACTTCCCAACTTGAATATACAGCCCTGTTTTCCTAAAAAAAATCTACATAATTTGCATAAAAAATCAGTTTCATTTTTCATTATTTAGCGGGGCGGTACAACGGAAACGACCCAACAGCCGCACACTTGTAAGAAACGCTTTTGGTGCATGCTCACTAAATTCAAGGAAGAGTACGAAAATAAATCAAATTTTGGAAAAGAAAAATTTTTTCTAAAAACAAATGAGAATTTTTATACAAAAATCCGAAAACGTCTGCAGCTTAAAAACTGTGAGACTCAATGACTTTTTTGATTCGAATGTTTAAAGTATTTCGCGAAAGCTCAAATTTTAGTATTTTCAGTATACGTTTTTAAAATTTCACGAAAGCTCAAAATGTTGATTGGGTGGATATCAAAAATTTCTGGAAGTTTCGCATTTCAGTTTTCAGACAAGTATTCAAATCGACAGTATACTTCCTATGACCAAAAATGAGTTATAAATTGTAGAAAAAAATCGTTGCCAAATTTCTAACAAAGTCAGATATAAGGCGCAGCATGACTGCTTGTATCAAGACTAGGCCTTGAATACTACCAATGCTTTTAGACATCATGAAATAATTCTTAATAGAAACAAGACTGCTCGTATCAGGGCGAAGCCCTGAATGTTTCGACTGCCCATTAAGGTTTATGGAGCAGTAATATCATTAAGAAATTAAAAGTAATAAAACAAAATGAAATTTTTTTTTTCAAAATTTTTTTTTTTAAATCATCCCCCACACGCCATATAAAGTACAAAAGGATAGGTTTCGCTACTTGTAACAAATCAATTATGGCAAATAAGCTTCGTTAAACCAATTTGGAACGATTTCTAAGACGGATTAACTCTCCGCTTACGCGTTAATAGCGCGAAATATGCGAAAAATAGAGCGGACGCCCCCCTCCCTCAGGGATTCGACCCCCTGCCGAGCCAAAAGGTCCCCCCTTTGGTACTTTTTAAGAAATCCATTTTTTGCCGACCGACCCTAAACTTTTTCTAAAGGCGCCAATATATACTAACTTTGAGGGGGAGCGCGCGCCAAAAAAACGCGATTTTTTTGTCAACATTTTTCAAAAAGTGCCTAAAAGCGGCGCACAATTTTTGGCAAAAACAGGGACCTTTTAGTGCTTTAGAAAAGCTCGAAAAATCAATTTGGTCGACCTAAAAAAATAAAAGGTCGTCAAAATTCTCGAAAATTTTTTTTAAATCCGCAAGTTTTGCTAGGTTATGTGGAACTTATATAAGTAATAAGGTTTGGTTGTTACTTTTACAAGCTCGAATTTCCTTCTATAATAAAGCTCAGAACACAAATTATATGGCGAAATTGATCTAATCTGCACTTATAACCATTGCAACAAATTTTAAAAACCGACACAAAGTGTAATAATAAAAAAAATGCTTCAATTTTTTATACTTATGTAACCAATTTGAAATATTTTTTGGAAGGACTTGCTGTAAATCACTGCTGCATAGTCAATTTTAATTTAATTTTTTAGATCAATTTTTCATACTAATCATTTCACTTTTTTGTATATTGATACGACCACATAGTGGAAAAAATATATTGGAATATGATTTTATCTTATAAAATCAGTTTATCAAAAAACGGTAAGAAAATGAACAAAAAATCACAATGAAGCATCTGTACTCCTGATTTGAACTAAAACATAATTTTTCTTCAAAATTTTTCGGTTCTGGGAAAATTGATATCCAGTGTGTATCTGTAAAACTGTCTTTTTCAACTGGCTATTAAGTGAATAAAAGTATCAAAACCTCTGAAATTTTTTATTGACTCCAGTCAGAAAATGTTTTGTAGTGTGAAGGTTTTGAAAAGGTAAGTTAGGCACAATTGTGTTGTAACATTTCGAATATTTTGCTGATGGCAAATCAGCTTATTTACAGAAACAGAAATATATTTTTTTATTCTTTGCTGGTATATTAATTCTCATCTTCATAAATTTTGATAATGAATTGATCTCGTGGCAAAAAAAGTGTTTTGATACTCCTGTTCGTTTCAAAGTTGTTGTAGTTTAAATAAAAACAAATCGACAGAAACACCAAGTTTATGTTTTCACTTTACAGACTATTTTAATGCGTGATATTTTACCTGAGTAACGTTAGTTTACTTTGACTATGTTAGCGCCTGTTTGGAATCAAAATATTGAAAAACTTAAAAAACTGCAAAATTGAAAAAAAAACGGATTTTTTTTGTTTTTCTTGTCAATTTTCTAAAGAGCTGTTTTTCAATTTGCTTATTTAATATGACTGTCGAATATACCTAATACCAAATGTGTGTTCAGCTCCTTTTATCACACCACGCCGAAAAAACGACAATAATTTGAAAAAATTCTTTGTTGTATTTTTTTAGACTACGGTCGAAACATTCTGTGCTACTTGCACAGTAACCGGCTATCCTTGTCTTTTGATTGTTTGTATTTGTTGTATTTTTTAATTTGAAAACTGTTTGTTCTTTGTTCAGATGATCTGTGGACATGGGGAAGTGTGCAAAGTGCCCGGGGTGCCTGCGTTCGAGTGTCTCTGTCCCCTCCACACATACTGCACAGCACAAGGAAAATGGTAAGACTTGAAAGTTCCCAACAAATGTTCTAACTGCAAAAAAACTATTCGAAAAGCGGTTTTTATTAAACCACCTGTGCGAAAAGAATTCATAGCCGATACCGTGACCAAGTAGCGTGCGAAGGGACGAGGGAGAGAAAGGAGGTTCTGTTTGTTTGGGGGGATATGGTTGCAAACCTTCCTTCAATTGTGGTCGGCGAAAATTTCTTAAGTTTCTTCCTTTTATTAGATACTATTTTACAACGTCCATTTTAGGTTGACGAACCCTACAAAAGTTTCTAAAGGCGCCTTTGGCACCAATTTACACTAAAACTGAGGCGAGATCATGCTCTGAAAAAATACAGTTTTTTGTTCACAATTCTTTAAAAAATGTTGAAATAGAACGTCAATTTTGGTCTGTTTTTCAAAAATTGGCCGGCATGTCAAAATATGGTCTTCATAGTGCTTAGGATTTTCAGAAAATAAAATTGGTCGACCACCTAAAAATAACGACCGCTCCTCCCCCTAGAAAAGCTGTGGTACATGTTTATTAAAAATACATTCGAACACTTCGCTTAATTGAGCTTCAGGTGTTTTTCATTTAGCTGGCCTATATTTGATCAAAACTACACTCCTGGCTTGATTTATGTGATTTATGAGGTTTTAAATTCGGTCCATCTGAAAGAGGAACACGTAGCCACTTCACCACCCTCCCAGCTCTTCTCCAGCCCCTCCCCCCCCCATCTCCAGTAAAATTACAAATAAAAGTTGTTTAAAAATTGTTCACATGGCATTATGCATGAAAGGAAAGCTTTAAAAAATTTGTTCACCTGTTCACGTTGACACGTTTTAAAGCAATTTATAACATGAAAAGTCATTTTAACTAGATTTTTTTATATTGAATTTCAGAAAAAATTAGGAGATAGTACTAGAAAAGAGCCCCCTCCCTAGATATCTCCAACAATTTCTTTTCTTGTGGCACGTATTAGGCAGTTTAACTACAAAGAGAACCCTGCAGACGTAAAAATCTCCTCAAATGCAGAAATGATAACTCTTTGAGTCAGATGTAACTTTGGTTCAATTATTATAAAAAATAACTGATATTTCAGCGAATCACAGCGGAAATATGAAAAGCTAGCAGACCTTTCTATCAGACTGTGTTATTTTTGTATTATGCGAAGCTTCCTTTTGCGTCTCAAGTTCAAATCCGTTTATTTTTGCATCTAGAAACATTACGCGGTACCACTATTGCTTCTAAAATTGAACAAGCTGAGGTAGACCCCATGCTATATTTAAGTTAAGAACTCTTTTACTTTCATTGTCACGACAGGGTATCGAATGCTTGATCTGACTTACTGAAAGTTAATGCCTTTCCACTGCGTTAAATGCTTCTATTAAGTTTTCTAATTATGCCCAGTTCATACCATGAGGAGGAATGTTGAAGACAACATAAAAATCAAATTAATATTAAAAACAAGACTGCTCGTATCAGGGCAAAGCCCAGAATGTTACAACTGCCTTTTAAGGTTTATGGAGCAGTGATAACATTAAAAAAATTTAATGAAATTAAACAAAATAAAAAAAAAACTTTATTTTTAAGTTTGAAATTTTTTTATGGAAATCATCCCCCCACACGCCATATAAAGTACAAAAAGATAGATTTCGTTCCTTGTAACAAATCAATTATGGCAAATAAGCTTCGTTCAACCAATTTGGAACAATTTATAAGACTGATTAAATCTCCGCTTACGCGTTGATAGCGCGAAATATATCGCGCGTTAATTGTCCCAAATTGGCCAAATATGGCAATATCTAATCCCCGTAACTTTGCGAAAAATGATCACAGTGAAATATCTTTTCAAATTTGAGCTCAGGACAACAATATCTTTCGAATGATATTTAAAAAAATTCCGTCAAAATGGCTGGTTAAGAAGTCGAAATTTGCTTGAAGAAAAAAAACCCACCCCGAGCACAAATATTCCGTTACTTTCGTATCGAAAGTCGGAACCACAAGACTGCTTGTATCAGGGCGAAGCTCTGAATGTTCCGACTGCTTTTTAAGAAATTTTTATGAAAATTAATTTTTTTAATGAAATTCTAATCTTTTTGAAAATTTTTATGAAATTCATCGCACGCCATTTAAAGTACATAGTGATAGACTTTGACTCCTAGTAACAAATCAATCATGGCAAATAAGCTTCTTTCAACAATAATCAATTCTGAGAAAAGTAAATTTCAGGCAAAGTTACAAAGTTAAATAAATCCAACAATCAAATTTTTCGCCTTTTTTTTCAGAAAACATCAGCAACAATGGTGAGCAGTCAATAAAAATAGCAAAAGGAAGTTTTCGGGAAAGTTTGGTCCTAGGCTGCAGAATAAAAGTTTTCAAGTGAATGGAGTATCAAACATTTTTGTCCGCTCAAAATTTTTTGTCCGCGCACAGCCAAAAAATACTAAATTTTGTTTGCACTCGACTAAGTCGCATTTAGTACATAGCTGGGATTGAATGTTGCATGTAGAAGAATTTTTTTAAACCAGAAAACGTAAAATAACTATTTCTGGGAATGATTATAAATATCGACTGGCTATCTACTAATTTGAATATTGGAAGATGCTTCAGTTGTTGGTGTTTGTTCTTATATAAATCTTGGAAGTAATTTGGTTATAAAAACTAACAGCGTCATCTTTTGTCCAGACTATGGCTTTTGAAGCAAAAAAATGAATTTTTTTTTGAAAATAATGAAAAAAATAAGTTTTTTTTTGATGAAATTTTTTCTTGAATTTCGTTTCTTACTAACCGATTTCTTGTCTTGCAGTTACAGACATAGGTTAGGTTGTAATTATTAAGTTAGTAGTGAGATATAAAATTGGTCTTAGAATTCCATCAGCTTTAAGTTAGTTACTTTCGTTTGACTTTTGATTCCTCTTTGGTTCCTTCAAAGATCAATTCAAGTTCACTTGTCAAATGACAGATATACTCAGCACCAAAAACAAAAATAAAAATGGCGCCAAAAAACGTGATTCACTTTGAGATTCATAAAAGATGTTGAAATTTAGTTATCCAAGGGAATGAACAAATTTATTCATTCAAAATGGTCAATTTTTTTAAATTTTCTTATTTTGTCAAAAAAGATGCCAATCATACAGCTTTATTAAAAACTTCAAAACAATTTCTAAAAAATTTCAAAATCTAAGAAAACGTTCGATAATCAAGTTTAAATAAAAAGTATCAAAATCATTAGCAGGTCGATATTCGAGATTGAAATAAAAAAATTAAAGAACTGCAGGCTGATAGTTGTTTTCGCTGAGCTTTCAAACTTGATGTTTTTTTTCCAATTAGAAGCTTGGTGCAAAATGCAATGAGTACGTTTTTTCGGGCATAATCAAATAATTTAAAATTTTTTCTTTTAATTTCCATTTGCTAGTTGCTCCAAAATTGCTAGTTTGCTCCAAAGATTTTTTGAAGGTTTGGGTAGCTCGAAAAATTAATTTGATCCAGATAAAAGTTTTCAAATTTTTTTCATCAAAATACTACCCATCCAATCAAAAATTTCCTGTGAATGCCACTTTTCTGTTCTATGAGACTCATCTTTTTGAAATTTTTTAAAGAAAGATCATCAGATAATTTTTGGGCGGAGTTTTTGCTTTACTTCATCACGACTGGTTTATATCGCAGCGATTCCAGCAACCTTGTATTAAATTTTTCCTTTTGTCAACTTACAATGCCACAGTAAGTAGTAATTTTTTAAGCGAATCAATTAGAAATTTAAGAAACGTTGCAATTATTGAATATATTTAAAACCTTGCCATTAATATACTTAGAAGTGAATTAACTCTTGTTAAACTACACTGTTAAAATAAACAAGCTGTCAGTTTTCGATGATCTGAGATTACTTGAAATCCGAATGACGATGCGGTACATGCCCTGAATGTTTTGACATCGTTTTAAAAGAAAAAAACTGAAATTTTCAAAAGATAATAAAAAAAATTAATACTTCTTTTCAGATTTTTTGAAACTCCTCTTTCACACTGAGATATATAGCGTATTTAGCGTCTAATTTTTTTCAGGAGGACGTAAAAGCGTGACTCAAGAGAATTTGAAATCATTTCTCAGCCAGTTTATAATCCATAACTGGCTGAATTGGCAAAAAAACTCCCCCCCCCCCCGTAACAAAATCAATTGGAACCAGTTTAAAACTAGTATTTATAGCCAATTATGTTCTTGATAAAATTATCCTTATAAAATATTCCTTGCTAACCAATCATGATCAATGACTAACACTGACAAATATTTGTATTGCTGAAACTACAAGTAGTTTCAGCACCAGAACAATTCGAATAAATCTTAGAAGACAGTTGTTCTCCTTTGGAACAAGTTCCATTAACCTAACTCGCGAATTGCAGTATACACTAGATTTATTGAGCCTAGGAGATATAAAAGTAAGATTAAGATTGGTATTAGACTCAGAAGTTGCACTAATCTATCCGGCCGAAAATAAGATAACGTGACGAACAAACGGTGTACCTTATCTGAAGTTACTTTATAAGTAAGCTACCTCTGGCTTAAATTCAATACCAAAACTTTTCCTTTTGAAATAGTCGAACTATTTGTGTTCGGATAGTTTTTTTCTTCAGCATCTTTCGATAGTTTAATTAGCGTTGCTTGACGGACTATTTATTGTAGCATAAGAAATATGGGTTTCAGTTTGGAATTATTTTGACCAATTTGGAATAACTAAAGCACGTTTTTTAACAAATAAAATAGGCTCAGAAAGCTTTCGAAGTGAACGGAGGCAAACGAAATAGTCCGAATAACGCGCTACTAATTAATAAACATATCACTCTAAAATAGACATAGTGTGGGGTGAAAATATGCAAAAACTAACATTGTTATCATATTTTTTTTTATTTATCATTTTCCAACCCAAAAAAAACCCTCAGATACTTTATAGGGCAGCTCAAACATTCAGGATTTTGTCCTACTGCGAGCAATTGTGTTGAACTTCAAATGAGATTTTTCA